CCCGACATGGGTACAATGTGTGAAGCCCATTTCTGGTGTCCCCCGCCGTGATATTGCTGAAATATTGCTAAAAGCGGCGTAAAACCATACTCACTCACTCACTCTGTAGCTGTTATACATCAGGTGCTGAGACTGACAGGGAATAACATGGATGTGCACCAGTAGTGGATGTGTATGTTCTGTAGCTGTTATACATCAGGTGTTGAGACTGACAGGGAATAACAAGGATGTGCACCAGTAGTGGATGTGTATGTTCTGTAGCTGTTATACATCAGGTGCTGAGACTGGCAGGGAATAACAAGGATGTGCACCAGTAGTGGATGTGTATGTTCTGTAGCTGTTATACATCAGGTGCTGAGACTGACAGGGAATAACAAGGATGTGCACCAGTAGTGGATGTGTATGTTCTGTAGCTGTTATACATCAGGTGTTGAGACTGACAGGGAATAACAAGGATGTGCACCAGTAGTGGATGTGTATGTTCTGTAGCTGTTTTACATCAGGTGTTGAGACTGACAGGGAATAACAAGGATGTGCACCAGTAGTGGATGTGTATGTTCTGTAGCTGTTCTACATCAGGTGCTGAGACTGACAGGGAATAACAAGGATGTGCACCAGTAGTGGATGTGTATGTTCTGTAGCTGTTATACATCAGGTGTTGAGACTGACAGGGAATAACAAGGATGTGCACCAGTAGTGGATGTGTATGTTCTGTAGCTGTTATACATCAGGTGTGGAGACTGACAGGAAATAACAAGGATGTGCACCAGTAGTGGATGTGTATGTTCTGTAGCTGTTATACATCAGGTGCTGAGACTGACAGGGAATAATAAGGATGTGCACCAGTAGTGGATGTGTATGTTCTGTAGCTGTTATACATCAGGTGTGGAGACTGGCGGGAATAACAAGGATGTGCACCAGTAGTGGATGTGTATGTTCTGTAACTGTTATACATCAGGTGTGGAGACTGGCGGGAATAACAAGGATGTGCACCAGTAGTGGATGTGTATGTTCTGTAGCTCTTATACATCAGGTGTTGAGACTGACAGGGAATAACAAGGATGTGCACTAGTAGTAGATGTGTATGTTCTGTAGCTGTTATACATCAGGTGTTGAGACTGACAGGGAATAACAAGGATGTGCACCAGTAGTGGATGTGTATGTTCTGTAGCTGTTATACATCAGGTGTTGAGACTGACAGGGAATAACAAGGATGTGCACTAGTAGTGGATGTGTATCTACTGTAGCTGTTATACATCAGGTGCTGAGACTGACAGGGAATAACATGGATGTGCACCAGTAGTGGATGTGTATGTTCTGTAGCTGTTAGGGTCGGTCGGGTAGCCTAGTGGTTAAAGCGTTAGCTCGTCACGCCGAAGACCCGGGTTCGATTCCCGACATGGGTACAATGTGTGAAGCCCATTTCTGGTGTCCCCCGCCGTGATATTGCTGAAATATTGCTAAAAGCGGCGTAAAACCATACTCACTCACTCACTCTGTAGCTGTTATACATCAGGTGCTGAGACTGACAGGGAATAACATGGATGTGCACCAGTAGTGGATGTGTATGTTCTGTAGCTGTTATACATCAGGTGTTGAGACTGACAGGGAATAACAAGGATGTGCACCAGTAGTGGATGTGTATGTTCTGTAGCTGTTATACATCAGGTGCTGAGACTGGCAGGGAATAACAAGGATGTGCACCAGTAGTGGATGTGTATGTTCTGTAGCTGTTATACATCAGGTGCTGAGACTGACAGGGAATAACAAGGATGTGCACCAGTAGTGGATGTGTATGTTCTGTAGCTGTTATACATCAGGTGTTGAGACTGACAGGGAATAACAAGGATGTGCACCAGTAGTGGATGTGTATGTTCTGTAGCTGTTTTACATCAGGTGTTGAGACTGACAGGGAATAACAAGGATGTGCACCAGTAGTGGATGTGTATGTTCTGTAGCTGTTCTACATCAGGTGCTGAGACTGACAGGGAATAACAAGGATGTGCACCAGTAGTGGATGTGTATGTTCTGTAGCTGTTATACATCAGGTGTTGAGACTGACAGGGAATAACAAGGATGTGCACCAGTAGTGGATGTGTATGTTCTGTAGCTGTTATACATCAGGTGCTGAGACTGACAGGGAATAACAAGGATGTGCACCAGTAGTGGATGTGTATGTTCTGTAGCTGTTATACATCAGGTGCTGAGACTGACAGGGAATAACAAGGATGTGCACCAGTAGTGGATGTGTATCTTCTGTAGCTGTTATACATCAGGTGCTGAGACTGACAGGGAATAACAAGGATGTGCACCAGTAGTTGATGTGTATGTTCTGTAGCTGTTATACATCAGGTGCTGAGACTGACAGGGAATAACAAGGATGTGCACCAGTAGTGGATGTGTATGTTCTGTAGCTGTTATACATCAGGTGCTGAGACTGACAGGGAATAACAAGGATATGCACCAGTAGTGGATGTGTATGTTCTGTAGCTGTTGTACATCAGGTGTTGATACTGACAGGGAATAACAAGGATGTGCACCAGTAGTGGATGTGTATGTTCTGTAGCTGTTATACATCAGGTGTTGAGACTGACAGGGAATAACAAGGATGTGCACCAGTAGTGGATGTGTATGTTCTGTAGCTGTTATACATCAGGTGTTGAGACTGACAGGGAATAACAAGGATGTGCACCAGTAGTGGATGTGTATGTTCTGTAGCTGTTATACATCAGGTGTTGAGACTGACAGTGAATAACAAGGATGTGCACCAGTAAAGGATGTGTATGTTCTGTAGCTGTTATACATCAGGTGTTGAGACTGACAGGGAATAACAAGGTTGTGCACCAGTAGTGGATGTGTATGTTCTGTAGCTGTTATACATCAGGTGCTGAGACTGACAGGGAATAACACGGATGTGCATCAGTCGTGGATGTGTATGTTCTGTAGCTGTTATACATCAGGTGTGGAGACTGGCGGGAATAACAAGGATGTGCACTAGTAGTGTGAAACTGTTAAACAGGTGTACGAGTTACAGCGTATGCCAACTTATGAGCAAAGCATGATTATGGTATGACGCCGAATTGTATTTGCAATATTCAAGCAAAAGCACGGCGGAGAACACAAGTGATACACATTGTACATATGTTGGGAATCGAATTCGGGCCGTCGGCGAGACGAGCAAATGCCGTTTCCACGTCGCTATCACACCGTCTCAAGACAACCGTACGCATCAGATTCGAAGTGTCCTTTTTGAAAAAAATATATATATGAGAATAAAGTTATAGATCAACTTATTTCTACGTTTTGCTTGACGTTTATCTTTGAATCGCGAAGTGTTGCTGCTTTATTTTAATTAGAAACTTTGCTATACGGCAGAATTTGAGTCAGTATTTGTTTTTTTTATTGGAATGCGATTTTTCTTTGCTATCCCTGCCACCAGTCAAAGCAACCCACTATGATAAGTGACCACAACCATGCTTGGAGGTCAACTCGCAACCGACTGACCATTTTGTTTACAAACAAATGATGACTTCCGTGACGCCGAATACAAATTGTTTTCATTGTCACTCTGAATTCTATTTCGTATCCACTATCATATAAATGGTACAGTAGGAATCTAAGGGGGAAGTTTGGTGATTTTATTAAGCTGGTTCCACTGTTGGTGCGCCACGCAAGCTCAGCGCGATAGTGATTTAAGTTTGTTTACAATCTCGAAGCAATCTGATTAAACAAATTGAAAGGTAAATTACAGAGCTCGAGATCAGAGAGTATTTGTGTAAAATACGCATCACATAAACTGAAATACACAGACAAATAAAATCTTAGCGTATCAAATATGCAATACAAACTATGAATACGTTCTTGAAATATAATTTATGCTTTACTTGTTTTATGCTATTATAACTATTAGATTAAACGATTGTATATGTAACAACTGTGAGAAAACATGATTGTTTATCAGCCGATCGCCAAATTCACAACGTCAGTTACATTCGGAAAAGATTTTAGGACAAACACACTGATAGATGCAAAATGAAAAGTACATCGTGTCTTGTCAATATACATTATAGATATTGTATCTTAACACTTGTGGATAGGGAATTAAGAACTTACCTTCACTTTGTGTGAGTTCATGGGAGTATGAACCTTCATAGAGTGAGGGCCAAACTGAATGAACGTCCAAGTGTAAAGAAGGTGTCACGCGCTGCGAAGTAACTTGATTAAAATTGTTAATAAATATCTCGCCAATCAGAAATATTTCTTTTTAATTTCAGCAGCAATAATATGCAACATATCTCCATAGAAACAGATGTATATTCTGCCTTTGTTAAACTATTTCGCCCACTTGATGCCTGTGCTGTACTTGCATTTGTCGTGAAGCCAGCTTTGCGCCGCCCTGTGAATTACTGATGTCGCACTTGGCAGAGAAAACAGCCGACAGCTTTGGTGTTTATAAGCTGGTGTAATATCTAATGGTGCAAGTTGACGACGCGCATAGGGAGCCGGGAACCAGCTTATAGTGTTTAGACCTAAGCCGGAATGCCGCGACGTCATCGACAGTGTGACGTCACTGTCATTGTACATTTGACGCCACGTCAGCTGGGCGAACCTCGGCTCGGTCTGAGGTCTCCGAGTGCAGCGAGATGTAAACAAACAGTTTTTTTTGGTGTTTTTCACGATTAATTACAAACTTATGACGTACAATTAACGAAGAAATATATAACGACATGCATACATATATCACGAGGTGCGGTGCTTACATACCAATCACACATCATCTCTATTTACACACAGTTAACAATTTATTAATTACCTATTCATGCGAAGTTCCAAACACAACAAATGACAAAATGTCTAAAATAGTTTTTAATTTTTTTATTTATCTCCAAAAACAACACAGAGTTTCACCTAAGTCATGACATATGTACACACGACGACGTGAACGTCACCCACGTCACTGTCACGCCTCCTCCTCCGTCTACACAAACACGACACTGACGTCATTGAGCGCCGCGGGACACGAGGATATCCACCAGTCGCGTATGTCCCTTGCGTCTCGCCACGTCGGCCGCTGTCTCCCCGTCGTTGTTCCTGGCGTTGATGTCCACCACGTTCAGTGACAGCACAAACTCCACCGTCTCCAAGTGTCCTCCAGCACAGGCGAGGTGAAGGATGTTGTTACCTCTCCCATTCACCAGTGACACATCGGCTCCTTTACCCACCAGGAGCTCCACCACCTCCCTGTGTTTCCACCGTGCTGCCTGCATCACCGGTGTCATGCTCCTCCCTCCTCTACAGTTGATGTCCACCACATTCAGAGACAGCACAAACTTCACCGTCTCCATGTCTCCTCCAAAACAGGCGCGGTGAAGGGCGTTGTCACCGACATAGTCCACCTGTGACACATCAGCTCCTTTACTCACCAGGAGCTCCACCACGTCTCTGTGTCCATGCCGTGCTGCCCTAATCAACGGTGTCAGGCTCAACCATCTACAGCTGGCGTCCACGCCCCGAGACAGGAGCCGCTTCACCTCCTCCAGGTTCCCGGCAACGCTGGCGACACCGAGGCGGTGGCAGTCTGCTGGTGATGGAGTCGCTGTAACACAAAGTAAACTCTGTACACTTCCAGACATCTTCGTCATACATCTACATGGTTCACACCTCAACGTGTTGACAATGACACGATACGTCATCGAACACTTCCAACATGGCTGACAATACAAGGATCAAGGGGAAGGACGACAGCTGGTTCATGTAATCAAGGATTATGTATTTAATTTTTAGAATCTTTCTGTTACATAAAATAGTTGTAACAATATTCTATGTATGCGTGGAGTGTTTTAACGTTTGATGAACTAAGCTTTATAAGATGATGCTGTCAGTACAGTTGCTGTTATATTAGGATAATAAGACATGACATTGGAGTATGTCAGCCTGTGTGTTTGTTGTTTTACGCCGCACTCAGCAGGAGTCCAGCAATACGATGGCGGAGTCTGGTACAGACAGACAGTCCAGTGGTTGACAACATGAGCACCAATCTGAAATACGATGACGATGATACGACTCTGTGCAGCTCGTTTATTGTTGGAGGGATTAAAGTGAGATCTTTCTGCCTGCTGGGTTCTCCCACCTACCCTGTGTCGGAGGCTTTTTTGTGGTAACTGGTGTCCCCTCGGTCCGACTCGGGCCACTCAAGGCTGAAACACAGAACATGCTGTTCAGAAAACTATACAGACCACATAAGCATTATACATACAAAATATGGCCATTCTACAAATTTTATGTATTTGAATGTTTTACTGATGAATATAATTTTAAATACGTTTATCGTAGTAGAGGTATACATATATTGCGACTAACAAATCACTCAAACGACTATATTAATATACAACACAAACATTGAGATTGCTGTTCATCTGAGCCGCGTGTCTGTACACGCCTTTTGGATTTAGCCTTATTGCGGTACTGTCAATTCAATTGTTGACTTGTTTCAGATTAATAGGATAATAAGAGTTTCCATTTAGCAGCTTGTTATTGTAGAGACTGTCCGTATGAATATTGTGGAGTGAACACTTTTGTATATGACAGTAATGGGGGATTACAACGGGTGGGCAGTAAACGAGGTAAAGACCGTTGTAGACCCAGTCACGATTCTCCTGCGGTCAGGGCGCATAGCCCATGGCCCCCAGGGGAGGAGTTAAGGGAGACGCGCCGAAGGCTCTTCTTCTCGCGCTTCTCTTTCTTCTCCTTGAGACGAGGAAGACGGCCGTGGCCCACTGAAGTACCAGCCCGAGTCACGTCAACTGCCCCGTCAACATACAACGCCTCTCAGCTCGACATTTTACATAAATGTCTGCGCTTGGAATGTGCAAGGCATTCACTCACGCATTCAAGACACAGACGTTTTTAACTTTTGTCAGAAATATGACATATTTGGCCTGATAGAGACCATGCAACCTGTCACTGACAGGATTAGAAATATTTTACCAGGCTTTATTTGGTTTGCATCACCTTCAGGCGGAGTGGCTGTGTAGGGAGGAACGCACTGTTAAATTATGTTAAACAAATTCATCCAGACTGGGTCTTTCTATGCATAAACATACCCAGTAAAAGGTTAAATTTAGGCTCTGATTATGTCCTCCCAGGCCATCCCCGCTTTATGCGATACTGATAATAATGGTATGATGACTTGGACTTAAAGTTAGCCATCTTGAAATCAGAATATGACGAAAATTTGATATCCCGCTGTGTGGGGACTTTAATGCCAGAGTAGGAGAAAACGATGGTTTTATAGTGGAGGACGAAACCGACTCGGACTGTATTCCATTTGGGGATACGTGTATATGCGAAGACTTTTGTCAACAAAGTCTACGTAAGCTTCTGTATACATACTGTCAATGGGAGCTCAGTTAGTCACAAAGTGGAAAGTTTTACATGTGTCAGTTATAGGGACACCAGCTTGGTAGACGTCTTTATCGCATCATCAAACATGTTCCAATACGTATATAATAGACCTAACTGTTCACTCTAGACTGGATTCTGATTATCTACCAGTTTCATGTCAGCTAAAGCTTCCATGTATTTCCTATAGTATGCCATGTCTCAGGCAGACTGATCTTGATTCCGAAACAATACTTTAGTTCAAATGGCATGATTATGGTAATGAAGAGTTTAAAAGTCGATTAAACTTTGACATGGGCAGTCATATAGTTAAGGATTTGTTGTACATACGAATGTAAATGCAGCGACTGCTAAAATTGTCGAATTACTCCAATATGCTGGCGATCTCTTTGAAGTAATCAATAGAAATAGATCAAATGATAGAGTAAGACAACCTCCATGGTTTGACTCTGAATGGTTATTTGCTAAGAGAAAGAAAGAAATATAAACTGACGTCCAAAAGAAACTTTACCAACTGAAAATATACATTTCAGACAAAGTATACATTGTTTTCCGATGAAGTCTATCTAAAACACATAACCTAAATACAGCAATAGTGTATGCAGAAAATGTTCATCGGCTGTTACTTGTTTGCGAGATAACACGCGAAAAAATGAAAAACATGTGAAAAACACGTGCACCATGGACAACTGCAAATGCACGTACGGGTAAGGGTATAAAACGATTGCAACGGCAAGTCAGACATCCACAGCGATAAAAAACACACAAAATAAATGCCACGACTCACAGTCGATCAACGTGAACGAGCCTTGGGTATGCTACAGATTGGAGCCACCCATGCCAATATGGCACGAACCTTCGGTTGCTCCCGTGGTGCCGTTACTAACTTGATGCAACAGACAGACAGGGCGGACCGCTGACAGGCCAAGAACAGGCAGACCCAGGGTGACCACGCCCCATGATGACCGGTACTTGCGTACCTTGCACCTCCGAAATCGCTTCCGGACAGTGACGTCATCGGCGACAAATGCCTTAGGTCACAGGGTTAGTCGACAGACAGTGGCCAGGAGACTCAGGGCTCATGGAATCAGGGCTTTTAGACCATACAGAGGACAGCTATTGACAGCGCAACATCGTCGTCTGCGATTAAGATGGACCTGGACTGTACGACGTTGGCAACGACGTGACTGGCAGAGGGTTGTCTTCACTGACGAAAGTCGATTCTGTATGTTTGGAAGACAACGTGTTTACCCCCGAAGGGGTGAACGGACGGCTGCGTGTTGCGTGCAGGAGGTCTTACCATATGGTGGAGGGAGTGTCATGTTGTGGGGAGGGATCTGTGGGCAGGAGAGGACACCGCTGGTCAACATTAACCGAAACCTGACAGCTCAGCGGTACATGGATAACATTCTTCGTCCATTTGTCCTTCCATTTCTCTAACAGCAGCCACGTGGTGTCATTTATCAGCATGACAACGCTAGAGCCCATACAGCCAGAATTGTCACTAACTTCCTCGCAGCCAACGACATCAACCTCCTACCGAGGCCTGCACGCTCACAAGACATGTCCCCAATAGAATACCTCTGGGACTTGATGGATCGTCGTGTTCGACAACGACTACACTCTCCAGCAAACCGGCAAGAACTGATCTTGGCCCTCCAAGAAGAATGGCGTCAAATCCCACGTGACCTAATCAGACGACTGATTTTTTCTTTGCGTCGAAGGGTTGTTGCGTGTATTGAGGCTTTTGGTGGTCACACACGCTACTAATGACTTGTTATTGAACGTGAGCGATTGTTTATGTACTCTGCCTAATGTCCATGATTCTGAAAGCTCGAATTTCGTACCACACCCAACTTTGGGGGGTTCTGACGTCATTCTCGGTTGCGGCTTGATTGTCAACTGTCAGTGTTGCTTATGTTGATATATTGATCTCCTCAATACACTTTACTTTTGTTGTTTTTGAGCAAGAGTGATTTCAAACTCTGATAAAGTTTCTTTTAGACGTCAGTTTATATGTTTAGTTTTTCTAAGGAACTACAGATCTGGAGAACATTTAGAAAATTACCTGGTAGCAAAGAAGATATACCGTAAATTGTGTTGTGCAAACGTAATTTAAAATGTCTGTCGTTCACGACATTGAATTTGCTGCACAGGCAAACGATTGTAAAATTGTAAAATTGCTAAATATCAAAGATACAAACTCACATAGTGATTTTGATATAAATGTGAAAGAGTTTATTATCAAACATGATTATGATTACTGTGACTATTGTAATACTACAGACATACTGTCCGAAGCCATTACTGACGATGAAAAAAGGGCAGCTATTAGAAGTTTAAAGTCTGGTAAAGCACCTGGTATTGACGGTGTTCCTTCTGAACTTTATAAAAATGCTCTTTCCATTGTGTCATATTTAAATATATAAGATGATTGAAATGAAGGAATGATTATCCCATTGTATAAAAAAAGGTGACGCCCGAAATCCGGATAATTACAGGGGACTTTCTTTTTAAAATATTGTTGGTAAAATTTTCACTACAGTACTGAAACTGAGAATACGAAATTGGGTCGAAGTTAATGATATGCTACACAGAGCACAAGCCGGATTTAGAAATGATTTTTCCACTAGTGATCAAATTTTTGTTCTACAATCCCTCTGTCAGAAAAATCTTAGAAAACCAAACCACAGATTTTATGCCTGATTGATAGGCTTTAGAAAAGCCTTCGACTATGTAGATAGCAATAAGTTGTTGTATGTGTTATCAAATACAGGTGTTCATGGTAAAATGTTTATTTTCCTTAGAAATATGTAAGAAAATATAACAGCATGTGTAAGGGTTGAAGATATGAAAACAAGTCTTTTTTAACACAACAAGTGGTGTTAGACAAGGATGCATGTTAAGTCCAGTTCTTTTTATGTTTTTTATAAACGAGTTTGTCTGTGAAGTGGAGACTTTTGGGATGAGGAATATTTTTGAAAGATAATTTTGATGAAATCATGTTATTATTATTTGCTGATGAAGTCACTCTTATTGACGATAGTGTATTTGGACTGCAGAGAAAACTAGATGCTTTAGGCTCTTATTGTGACAAATGGGGCCTTGAGTTAATTTAGATAAGAGAAAGGTCATAGTTTTTAGAAAGGGTGGTTATCTGAGAAGAATTTAAGTGGCTTTATAAAGGTTTTGCAAATTGAAGTTATATCATATTTCAAATACCTTGGTCTAC